GTCATGCATTGCACTAGGCCAAATATAGCCTTTCCAGTATTCAAGCTATCAAGATACATAAGTAAACTAGGTCATGAACATTGGAAAGCCATTGGAACAGTTCTTGGTTATCTTAAGAAAACAAAAGAGCTTGGTTTATATTACTTAGATTATCCAACAGTTTTAGAAGGATATACAATGCAAGTTGGATTACTAGTAAGGGTGATAACAAATCCACTTTAGGTTGGATTTTTACACTTGGTAGTGGTGCAATAAGTTAGGAATCAAAGAAACAAACTTGCATCTAACACTCTACTATGGAGTCTAAGTTCATTGCTTTGGCAGCAATAGGTAAGGAAGCAAAATGGTTGAGAAATCATTGCTCGATATAAAGTTGTGGCCACAACCTATGCCAACCATTTCCTTACACTATGATAATGGGGCTACAATGTCTAGAGCTTATAGCAATGTTTACAATGAAAAATCTAGACCTATTAGCCCTAGACATACTTATGTTCAAGAGTTGATCACTAATAGGGTTATAACAATAATATATGTAAAGTTTGTAGATAATCTAGCTAATCCTTTCACCAAAGCATTACCACGAGATATGGTAGAAAGAATGACAAAAGGAATAGGGATTAAATATTTAAATTACATAATGGTAATGGGAACCCAACTTTGATTTAGTCACATCTAAATTTAAAGTTTAATGGGTAAAAACAAGTTAGCACATATGCCTGTTTAGCATTAGATATCCATTCCTAAGTTAGTCAAGTGTTGTCTATTGCATTTTTGGATGATGAGTGTATACTCTTAATGGAGTTGTTGATTACCAAATGTCTAGCAATGGGGACATAAAGAACTCCACTTAAGTGGTTATTGAAGTGGTACTGCTTCAAGTAAGAAGATGTTGGATTCTCTTGTAAATGACCATTATTATCAGGATGAGCACATGGCCATAACTATGCTAACAAGGTTTTTAAACCTCTTGGGTTAGATAGACAAGATTTATGTGTGTCATACACTTATATCTAATATAAGTAGTTATGGTTTAATCGTTGGACACCAAAAACTTCATTAGAATTGAGGTATGATCACTAATGAAAGGTTTAAATTGAGAGATACCTTCATTAAGCATATTTCTTGTTGAGTAGAACTAAATTTACATTTCAAACTAGTGGGGGAATGTTGAATAGTTTGAAAAGTAAAAGTCCAATATCTTGAAAGAAAAAGGAAATAAAGGGATTTATATATGTTTATCTTTTGTCCACAAATAATTATGAAAAGTTACAACTCAAGACTTGCAAGCTTTGTGTTTAGGCCTTCCCCTTCTATATATTATCATTTAGATGGGCCCTTGGGGCTTTGACTTGCCAAGAGAAATTTATTTGTTTAACTAATTTTAATTAATTTTTCAAAATTAGAAAGACATGTCTGAATTTTAGATGCAATTTTTGGGTACAAAAGACACTTTTCTGGAATGATGTCTTCGTATAGAAACACATTCATTTGGCAGGTGTTTTTTCATAGAGACATACCCCTCAGTTGAGATCCATTTAGACAGTATAAATTCCTTTAATAGAGTTCATGTTCTATATCTAATTTTGAGATTGTTTCTAAGTTTTGTTGTATCAAAGATGATTTTTGAATCCTTAAGAAAAGTGAAATCATGTCCTAGAAGTTTCCAATTCTTGTGTTTTTCTTTATTTTTTCCTAACAATATATGGTGGTAATTAATGTCATTAGACTTTTACAAACTACTTAAAAGATTTCATGTATAAGAAGTCTACGTAAACCAACTCCGTTTTAGAAAATACAAATCTAGAACTCCAATTCTTTAAGTCTTATAGTCTGCTGGTGGATGTCATTATTAATAAGGGACAGGTTAGCTTTTTTTATCTACTCACTTGCTAAAGCGTAAAGCTCTATTTGATTTAATTGTTTAAGTATGGTAGATTTTTTAAAGGCATTATAGTTTATAAACATAGAGATCTTATTTTGAGTGGGATTTTTTTTTGTCTTATGGATCTAGCTGGAGTATATTTATGTCAACATAAAGTTAACAAGGTAATAAAATAGAAATAGTCACATGACTCATGTGAAAAATTTCATTTATTTTATACCAATTATAACAATAATATAAAATTTATGTATTAAAGCACACAAAGTGTTGTTGAAAGACTAGTAGTCTAAAAAAACGAATACAAATAGTTAGGAGGATTCTAGACGGATTAGGCTCTTTTTTATTGCCAATACAAAAATCCACTGGTTCAGTTTTGCATGGCTCGAAAATTCATATACGCAGAAATTTAAGCAGTCTCATTCTGCTGGAGGAAATTCCTCTACCTGAAAGAAAACTTAAGGAACATTGTTGCCATTCCAGAACAATTATCTTAAATTGACTAAAGGGCAATATTAGCATTTTCCCAATCAAAAGATGTCCCAAAGAAGCTCTTCTTATGGCAATCTAGGGCTGAAAGCTATTTCGCGGACAATTGAGTTAAGATGGCCTCTGGGAAAGGCAGAATGCAATCAACAGACCTTTCATGATCAAAGAAAAAATGTACGAACCAAGTCAGTACCAGATCAAGGTAAAATGATTCTATTCAATAACTTACACTGCACGTAAGAATTCTAAACCTAAAATTGGTGGGACATACATCAGATGTACGGTGAGCTTACACAACTCCCCATCAGGACATCAGAATTCAAAGCAATTTCTTCCCTAAAATCTTAGCATTACATCATTAGTGAAAAATCATCGTATCATTTGAAATCACCTCAATCTCTCTGTGAATGGGCCAGCAGAAGAAGCTGAAATTGGTAATACTACAATGCTCAAAGTTGGGAGACTGCAATCTTTTATCTAGACAAATATGACCTCAAACTTTGCACAAGGGTTGCTTTCAATGTGATTCCTAAAGTCGGCATCCCCTTTGAATTTAAAGGTATACAAAGCTTGTCTCTGGGTCAAGCCAACAGGATATATTCTGTATATTTTAAGTTCATCACCTCCTCTGATGCTTTCAGGTCTTTCTAGCTTCCAAATAGGGACGTGTTTTCGGGACCTGTACTTAGTTAATACTTCAGACTCTAAGGCTTCCAGTGTCAAATTCCCAGACCTGTTCAGCAAAGTTGGAAATAAGTATTATTCTCTAGATTAAAATAGAACAGTAAATGAATGTTTGGCCACTTAACACTGATAAAATAGTTATTAAGACTCTTATTCCTATAATGCTTTCGGATGCATGCATGCATGCCATGGCAACTGGTTTTCTAATAGGAAATATCACTTACAGCTAGAGAGATGATGGAGAAAACAATGGACTCTGGATGTATATGATTGAAAATAAGCGAGATTGGAAAGGATCCCCTTCTTGCATTAGTATCACATAAAGTCTAAGATAGTTTACCAAAAAAAATTGGTAGTGGACTGAGAAAACAAAGTGCTCTAGTTGCACTTCCATGATTGAAATTAATTGAGATATCCTTTATTGCTTTTAGTCTCTAAAGAAAGTGCAATCAAGTCAGCGAATGCATCAATAAAACTTACTGCATAAGAATATCACTGATAGAACTTGGTGTATGATGGGATACCTTAAGAAAACAGAATCCATCTCAAACCTCCCTCGTTCTCTTACATATAAATGATACACAGTTTCTGGACCACTAGAGCAGTTGCAGGGGCGTTTTTTGAAATCAGGACTCTTTTCTTCTTTCTCCCGAGCCATGGTTGCCAGGTGAATGCAAAGCCGGCATGATGAGTGCACAGCTGCCATATCCACCAGGGCCTTAAAAGAATCAGAAGGCCCCTCATACTTCCACCTGATGAATGGACATAATTGTCAGCAATATTTCAGATGAACAGGCCAAAATAATTCAATTGCATAGGCTAACTGCACCTTAAAGATTGATTGTATGCATCAGGATTTTCTGCTAGGTACTTCATTCTCTTCGCGACTGATGGAACATCCACCAATTCTCTAATATGTAAAATTGACTCAGGAGAAGGAGCAAAATCCTCAATATTTGGAGCACCAATAACAACTGGTATGGATCCTACAAATATTTAAGCAAATTGAAAACCATGTACAAATTATCAACTTGGGTTTTCTAGGCTGGGCAGAGAAGCAAATGAATTTATTAACAAAGAACAGTTGTACAAGAAATTCCCATCAAAGGCATCATTGAAAAAAAACAAGGCATAGTTGATGTAGGCACTGTAAAAATGATCTCATTCAAAATTGAAACAAATAATGTCTTTCCAACAATCATTTTAGTTTTCCAAATCCATTCTGAAGCATTTCATCATTTCACCTGGAAATTACCCATTGAGTTTTTAGCAAAACTTTCTTTGTTAATGGGAAATCCTGAATTGAGCAGAGTAGACTGGGGTGGGAAAAGTTGAAAAAAAAAAAGG